GGAGGTTAGTCGCCCGCTAGAGACTCAGATTGAGAGGGTCTGAAGACCTTTAGTCGAGACTTCAGACTGTTTGAGAACCTTCCGCAGTGTAACTTTCATAGAAATTGAACTTGGTAATTACAATCCGGCTTAACTGCAGACTAGGGGGAACCATATCCGGGTGACCTCTCTTAACCTGGAAACAACCGTTTAGTTGCTTTGCTTGCTTGTTAGTTTAGACCTTCACTAAAGTTTCATCGCTAGATAATACGAATTCACTGAGTAGTCATCACATCTAGGACCCGGGTTGACATTAAAACCCAAACCCGTTATACTACGCTTTAGGAAGTGGTTACACTTGGCCAATTTCTAGAGTGACAGTAGGAGTAGTCACCTCTTGTCCAAACTTAACCATATTTTTACACTTATAAAAGCCATGGGTGGCTTGGAACTGTTGTGTCTTCCAAGACATGCCCCTTACTTCATACTTCATGATGGGTGACATGCCCCCATGTCCAGGTTTAGCCAGACTAGCATGCTTATCATATGCATGTGTGGCTTGGATTTCATATGGCTTCTTGGACATGCCTTTTCCATACTTGGCCAAATTTTTAAATCTACAATAACTTTTTTTATGGGTTTCTCACGTAGTGACTTGTTAGATATGCCCTCGTGTCCACTCGAAGTGGTTGGAGGCATGCCCCCCTTTCCATACTTAGCCAAATTAGTATGCTTAGCACAAGCATGTGTTGCTTGTGATTGATGTAGCCTCTTAGACACCGCATGCCCCCCAGACGGACATCTCGGGTTCAGCTTGTGGGAAGTTAGATTTTCATGCCCCCCTTGTCGAGCTCTATGCGTTTTGAGTCCATCAGAATCGCCTCCTTTGCATACTCAATAGGGGTGGCATTGGGGGCTGGCAAGCAGGTGGTGGTACTTGGTCCACATTGAATGGATCTTCACCATCTCGTTCATTGACAGGTGTCTCATCTGATCTTGTCTCTAGAATAAGTGGTTGAACATCACCTTGTACATGAAAGACCCCATCACTGGTGTTCAAAGTGCAGGTGGACCTCTCACCACAACTCTCACGTTGAGGGGGTGGTTGAGTTACCACTGGAGATAACAAGTTCCCTGGTCGTGGCTGGGTATTCCCACCACCGGAGGGAGAAAGATTTGTATCCCTAGTAGCATTGATTTGTGGTGAATCTACACCATTTTTTGGTAAAGACATTTCTTGTACCACTGGTTCCATAAAAAATTTCTTACACTCATTCAAGCTATTTTGATTTTTTAGGATCGCTTCAAACAATTGATCAAAACGTCTATCCAAAGTGGAACTAAGACGTTCGAATGATTCATTAAGAGAAACAAGTCTGAGGCTTGTCTGTTGTGAACTTTTAACAAGTCCATCTAAACCCTCCTCCATGACTTGGCAGTTCTCCACCACCATCTTGGGGTTCTCCTCCACTATCTCATGAACTAGCACGACGTTGGTGGTTAAATGAATGCCTTGTGTCACCGGTGGCAAAGTCTCCGCCATGCCATTGTTTCCGGCAACAACTTCTGTGTCTTGGCCAAATTCAAACTTAGCCACTTGCTTCATCACAAACCCAGGTGAGAGATCACCTTCTTGTTGCCTCTGTCTTGGAGCCATCAGATCAAACACAAGGTCCCACCAGGTGTGCCAAATTTGTTTTCCGGCGAGGAAACTTCCGTTGAAATGAGATTAATGCACCTTTGACTTCTATGGACAACGATTTTTAAGACACGGCTCAAACCTCTTCAAACAAAGTTCGAACGAGGGTGTTTGATTGATGGTTTCTGGGAACGAGATCTATATTAAATTACTTCTACTCCTATGGAGGTTCGGCGAGAGCTCCAAACTACGAACTACATCTATGGCTACATGATAGAGAAAAGGTAAAGGATAAACTTGACATGTGTGTCAATTGTGTGGTTTTGGGAACCCTTGTCTCTGTCGACCCCTCCTCTTATTTATACCCTTCTCGTGAGGCAACATGGCCTTCTCAGACTTGGTATATTTTGGATCATGAGGCGACATGGCCTCCTCATTCGTGGCCATGGACTTCTCAGTCATGTATGTGGCCCTTCTCAAGACACATCATGACCCTCTCATACTTAGTATCTTTTCTTGCGTCCATGCCCCTTCTCGTGAAGTGGCATGGACGTCTCATCTTGTCTCGCGTCCATGCCCCTTCTCGTGAGGCGGCACGTGCTTCTCCTTGAAGTGGCATGTACCTCTTCCAGACTTAGTTTATTTTTCAGTCATTAGGCCTTGGTCATGGGGCGGCATGGCCTTTTCGTGAAGTGGCATGTCCTTCTCGAGACTTAGAATATTTTTGATCGTACCGAGGTCTTCCTTGAGATGGCATGTGCTTCTAAATTCTAGATAGACATGTTTTTGTGTTGTTTGGTCTTGGTTATGAGGCGGCATGGCCTTTTCATTCATGGCCATGGACTTCTCATACTTAGAAATTTTCATGCCATCTCGTGGCATGGCATGGCCTCCTACGAGAGGCCCATGTCCCTTATTGAATCATGTCCATGCTCATTAAAGAGCTAGTGACTTGGGTTTAAAATCAATATCCATAAGGCCCAATTTAAACAACATTAATTGTTATAATGGGTGTGGCCTTATAAACTCATTAATTATCTTGTAACTCACCAATGTGGTACAAGACAAAATTTATGGTGTAAACAGGAGGAGAAGGAAGGAGGCCGCCCATAAGCTCTTCTGGAAGCCTTTAATGTTATCATAGCTTCCCTAGGAATAGGATTGTTTTACTTGTTCAATTCGAAGTTGTTTTCCTATACCTAGTAGGACATGGTTTCCTTATGTCTTTAGTGATAGTTTTATGCGTTTCAGAACTCTATGAATACATTGTTTGAGTGCAATTTCGAAATTTCTATTATTTTCTTAGTTATTCGTGGAATTCGAGTAGCTAGAAGCATGGGTTTTATTAACTTAGATCATCATATTAGTTGTGGGTCATCCGTATATCTGATCCCTAGGTCCACAACGGTTAGGTGCTCATATTATTCTTCCGCTTTTGCTTATTGTTTTGCTACGCATCTTTGGTTGTGTGTTTTGATTCTATAAGTATAGGATTCCAAACCTCGGCCTATATCAAATGTCATGATACAATTCAAAATGCAATTCCAATGTGGATGCTCTTAAATGCAAGTTTGCAAAATAAAATTTTCATCTACATCAATGCAATTACAAATGAATGTCATGTCATCAGGGGCTGATCTAAGTAGAGACTCGGGCGGCCAACCCCGATAATTTTGAAATTGCGTACAGAACTTTGTTGAATTTTGAAAAATTACGTATAAACTAAACATCATTATTAAATTGCATCCGCGTGCAGTATTGATGCATAGTGTTGTGGATGCTACATTGGTGAATCATCTAGCCTTTCTCCTCGCATGTTCGATCTTGGCCTGCAGAAATTAGGTAAATTTTTGTGTTCTTTCATCAAATAATAATCTTACTCTTAACTTCCTTTTTTTTAGTTTAGATTCGAAGTTGGCCCAAAACAAATTATTTATTTTATCATTTTTCATATTGATTTACCAAATAATAGTTTAAACTATTTAACTTTCATATTTAATTTTACAAGCCTTGTACTTTCAAACTTTCATATTTTTTTACAATCACTATACTTGAAACAAATCCTTCAACTTTTAAATTCTTATGTTTAATGAATTTTTGTTATATAATGATTTATTTTCTTATAAGGGTGTCATAGGTATGTTTTCAATGCTATTTAAGAAATTCGAATATGAAATGTACAAGTTCAATACCAGTGATAGTATCACTAGATCAATCTTTCGCTCTTATGGATTGTTACTTTTCAAACAATAATATTGATCTCCAATCATTTTCATTTATAAAAAATTGAAAAACATGCTACATATGGAGTTTTTTTTTTATATATATATCTATTGTTTGGATTGATTTTAATTTGCGCTTTTCTTCTAGTATTCAAAAGCGCCAGCGTATTCCCTCCATTCTCATTTCATTTGCCCAAATTATTAAGGCCGGGATCTCCTCACAAAGCAATCTGTTCTCCAGTAGGGAGTTCTCCTCTTGAGTCTTGATTGTGCTTCTTTATCAGGGTTTGACAATCCATTTCCAGTAGCAAATATTGCTCAAAATGACTCTTTGCCATCATCACCTCACCTCCAATAACATCGTCTGCCCCTCTGCCATCTCTCACTTTCATGTCCTTCTCGTCATTAATGTTCTTCCTGCACTATCTCTTACCACCATTCCCAAACCAGATCAACCTGCCTTTAGACAAACAGCTCCAATGTTAACCTCTTTTAACATCCAGCTAAAAATTACGTCCAGTTTTCCATATCATTCAATGAATCAACCCATTTAACTAGTTGTAGATAAAGAACAAATAGTGATTCTACAACGACTCAGAGCCGACATACTGAAGTTCGATAGCTATCTGAAGCCACACCCATTTGCAGTACAATTCAAATGAATCTTAATTCTTAACATTCTTATGTTAAGTTCGCTTCATTTTGATAGGATGACATTTTGGTCAACTAATCTTTAGGGAACAAATCGGAATCTCAGCATAAAACAAGATTCCTTCCTTCTGAACGCAATCCTCCTGCACTCTGCAGTCAAAACCTGACTCTGTCACTCTCAGCCTATATCCCCTATTGCCAGAAGACTCGAGAATTAGCTGTCAAAAATATTAAGTGGGGACAGAAAGCAATGCAAGTAAGTTTGACCCTTGTGATTCTCTGCCTGCAATCGAGATTTGATATCCTAGTTCTACACAAGGACTGCTGTACAGAACCTGCAAAACAACGTCAAAAGGAAAAGCTACCAGAAAAAGAAAAGAAGAAAACAGAGCAACTACAGGCAATGCCAGAAGGCCATCTTTTCTTCCCAATCCCCTGTTATCCCTCTTACTGAACACAATCTTCTTCTATTCCAAGTTCCACATAACAACAACAACAGCAAAAGAAGAATGGCCGGCAACCGCAGCAATTTCGCCGGAGCTGAGATCCACCAGCCGTTCGAGCACTTCTTCAAGGCGATATCACCGGAAACAGTCCAAAACAAGAAAATGGTAAGCATTGTGCTCTGTTTTGCTTAAATCTTTTTTTTTTTCTTCAGGAAATCCCCCCACCTGACCTTGTGCTCTGTTTTTCTGTTTGTTTCTGTTTTCCATGGACGTAACAGATGCTTCCGGAGAAGTTTGGGCTCACTTTCAGGGGCAAGCTTCCTACACAGGCGAAGCTGAAAGTACCAAACGGCAAGGTTTGGACTGTTGGGTTGACGAGAGAGAGGAACCCAAACAGAGTGTGGCTGGACTCCGGGTTCGGAGATTTCCTCGATTACCACTCCGTCATGGCACAATACTTGCTCATGTTCAAGTATGATGGCCGCTCCAGCTTCAACGTAGTCATTTGCGACACCACAGCCTGCGAGGTTGTCTTTCCCAGGGCGTACCCTCAGGCTTCTTCTGATCAAGAAGACAGCGACATGGACGACGATTCTGAGTTTAACGCCGACGAGCCCAGTGAAGAGGAGGAAGAAGAAGAAGAAGAAATCAGCGATTCCAATTCTGACAGTGAAGAGGGGTTCGTTCTCGGCGCCAATGACAAAAGCAAACAAGCGGAGGATGGAAATCGCCGCGGTGGGTCTGCCTCTGGGTCTCGCCGGAGGGTGACCAAACCAGATGCCGGCAACGATCGTGCAGGTAAAATTATCAAGTTTTGAATGTGATCAATATTTGTTCTTGCCTGCCAGGGGGTGTTGGAATCCTGAGTAGCAATTTTTTATTCCTATTTCTCTGTGGTTCGTTAACATCTTTCTTACCTGAAATTGTTTTGCCTTCGCCGTTGAGTTGCAGCAGGAAATGGTGCTTCAGGGTCCCGGCAACGGTCCTGGAAACGTCCAAATGCAGCCACAGGTGGAAAAAAGTACATTGTTGAAACTACGATGAAGCTTTTTAGAGTAAACCACCTGAGAATTGAGACGTGTTTGCTGTGCGGTTTCCAGGGAGGGACAGGGTTCTGTGGAGGCGGCTGGAAGCGTCAAAGATCGCCACATCAACCAAATTCAAGAACAGTATCAAGGACTTGTCTCCAGGGAGCAAGAGAGCAGTGGAGAGAGCCATTTGCAGCAAGACAAGGAACCCTTCTGCATTGGTGGTCATGATGAAATTCCATATCTATCCAGGGTTCATGGTAAGTCTCTTCAAAGATAGAAGCTGCTGATGATTGTCTTGAACAAAATTTTGCAGATCGTTGTGATTGCCGATGATAAGTTTGATTGTAGTAGTAACTAGTAAGCGTTGGCAACTTTGCTGCTTCAATGGTCTATTTACGTGTGTTAGCTTAGCTTAGGAGAAGTAAATATTTGAGAGGTTGTTTGTTTGAACGAATGAGAAGTTGTAGTTTGCATGAAGGAGAAGATGGCATGTTGATCAATGAAAAGCTTCCAGTTTTGGGTAATTCAGTTCCATTTCTATTTCAAATGTGCAGTACCTTCCAAATAAGTTTGCAAAGACCCACTTTCCTAGAGACCGGGAAGAGGTGACCCTTCGTGCCTGTGAAGATAAGAGGGCATCCGGGTGGGAATTGCAGGTTTATGGCAACAGAAACGATAAGAATGTCTTCTTTTTCAGAGAATGGGGCAGGTTTCGCTGTGTTAATGACTTAGTCGAGGGAGATGCTTGTTTGCTGGAGCTCATCCACGAGAAGAAGAAGAAAGTTGTCAATGTTCATATTTTTAGGGCTTGACGACTCCTCGGTGGGGATTTAGTGGGTGTTACAATGTAGTAATGCTACTTCATTGCGTGTTTATGATTTTCTGAACTTCTGAAACCACCATTTTCTGAACTTCTGAAACCAACATTTCGTTCGTTGTTTCCGGGGTATGTTATGTTAGATTCTATCCACGGAGTATATGGATTTTGCTCTAGGTTTTATGCAATGCGTTTGTCTACTAAGGTGGATGTTGTGATGGAGGCATCAGAAAAAGGCCAGAAAAAGCAAGGATGGTATTCACACAAAACCAGTCTCAGGCTCTCCAGCTATAGAAAAATGTACATTTCTGTACATCAAGAATGAACAACCCAACTTTCTACCACCTTACTACCCTGCAAAACCATTTCGTGGCAATAACATTATACCCTCTCCATACCCCAACCCTTCTCTGTTTCACCCGTAGTCGCCCCAGTGGCTGGACTGGCAAGCAATTGTTGATAACCGTTGCCCACCCATCATGTCAAATTTACCCCTACCGAAGAACTAATGGTTCTCTCCTCTAAGCAGAGGTAGGGACAGGCATCTTCTCGTGAAGTTCCCGCAGAAGATCCTGGAGCTCAGGGAAGACCGTCACCAACAAGAGCTCGAGAATTGCATATGCGAGCTGCTTTATACAAATAGTAGACTGCATTTTATGCAACAAAGGGGGGATTCTTATTTGGTATAGAAACACATAGCGTGGAACTATTATTGTACTTAGAATTCAAGAACAGTGTGAAATATAACCGGTATAGAATCAAAAATAACCTGAGTGAAATAGAAGATATCCCGTGCACAACGCTTGTATTGCTTTGCACCAATCAAGCTGACTAAGGCTGTTGGGACTCCATCTGACGAAAAAGAAGATAATTTCCAGTTTAATATTATAATGGATTGAAACGGGAAGAACAGGTTGAAGATAACCATATTATGGACTGAACAAGAAACAGGAAGAAGCTGCCATCAGAAACTAATTATCACAATTCAGAAACATGGAAAAACTGTTGTCAAGTCTCACCAAAGAGTGTTTTCCTTATATAATTTGCTCTGCGAGAAGCTTCAAGTTGTTCCTCAAAGGAAATTTGCTTAGAGGCCTTGGCAATGCCACCAAACTGGCCCATCTGAAAAGAATTCCGATTTTGTTGACCTTCATCAGCAGCTTTGGTTTGAGCGACACCAATTTTTGTGAAGAAAGTTCCATTTGGCCAAAGAATCTGGAAAAATTAAACCATCATCAAAAGAGCAGGGAGAACGCCCACGGCAAGCTCTAGAATTGAACCAGAGATTCCTACAAATTGCAGAGACAAATGACTTACATCTTGCACCAATCGAATCCCTACGGCTATAGTCTCCTCTCTCCGAAGCCAATAGATCTGACTCAGGAGCCAGTCATCGATGGCATCTTCCATCATCAATTGCACGATCTGCTTGGACATCCAAAACACTTGTCTCCTGCGCCCATAAAATTCAACCAAGTTGAAAGAGGGAAACAATTACATCTATCTGTCTTCAGTAAAGTTGGAGCAGTTTCAAGTTTCAACATGCCTATTGACTGGACATGCTCCTGTTTAAGAGACTCTAAAAGGGAATTAAATAAAATGTAATACGCAGGGGCAAACAACCAAGGTACATGGTACTCAAACTTCTCAATAGGTGGACCAAAACTTTGGTTTAGAGTGCAATAGATTAGCTAACCTCAGCCAACCTCTTCTTTTAAGCTGAAACACCTTGTCAACTAGATTCAACAGGGGCACGCTGACGTTAGGTGGAGTCCACTGGGAGAACAAAAACAATCAAGCTATAATCAACAAGATTTCCATAGCAGATGACCACATAATCATGATAATTGAGCAACTCCCAACAGCCAGCTAAATATATTCCTAACTGAAGAGAAAAGGCCAACTAGCAAAAACCAAATCTTAAGTAAAGCCAGCAATATATGGAAAATTTTTATCTATCTTAATTGCAACCACCAAAATCGGTAGCCAAGTGCAAGACACAGTACCTCAGGTGGCATACCAACTGGATCCTCTAAGCGAGTAGAACCTAAGGCTGAAGTCACAGGCGAAGGTAGGCCTTGCTTACTACCATCAGATTTTACGACGGAGTCATCAGTTCGCTTTAAATTTAAGCTCTTTGACATCTCATCATCCCGTTTCATCACTCGCCCTGGCAAAGTCCTCGACTCAACTTCGTTATCTGAATGCCAGCCACTAGCTTGAGCACCGGGTCCCTCATCCTCTTGGTCTTGGTCCTCTTGATGATGACTGTCATCATTGTCAGAAGAGCTGTTTTCAGTACCCATGGAATCTTGCCCATACACAGGCTTAATAGTCTCATCTAAATTCCAATTCAAATTCCTGCTATAGCTTGGAGAACTGGAATCATCCATCTGGGAAGTTGAACCGACAACTTTACGCATCCAGCCATCTGAAACCCCTTTAAATTGCCGCACAATATCGTCCACAGCATCATCCACATTGACTGTTAATTTTCAAAAGCAAAACCAGATGAGTAATGAGTCAAATAATTGAATAGCCCATAAACACTATTGTAAACATTATAAGTCTACCAACATTGACAATAAAACTCAAGCACGAGTAAACATAGCAGATGAACTTGAAAACAAAGACTTGGTCTAGCGGTTGTACCGCTGATCTTCAACCTGGAGGTCTCGTGTTTGAATCTCTTAAGTAGTCACCTTATAATAAAAATAAACTATGTCGCCCTCATAAAAAAAGATAGTAGATGATCTTAGATATTGAAATTACCAAAGGATGTAATATTTATATTTCAGGCTGGAGACGTGCAAAGCAATGAAATAAGCGAAGGTTATCAGATAAACAACAGAATATGAACCACAAAAAATAAAGGGAAACATTAAGAAAAAGAAAAGTGGAACAGCAGCTGAAGAAGATTTTATTGGAAAGCTCAGCAAGAACCAAAACCCAGGATGCATCACATACCTGCCAAGGTTTTCATCACTGAAGAAGATTTCCCAAATGAGTAATTCTTCAGAACATGTGAAAAGGAGATGAGAATCCTGACCCAGTATTTCAAGGAACCAGGAAAAGCAGCAGAAAACAACCAAAATGAAATAGAAACTTTTGTAAACAGCTGTCACACCTTAGAGGAAGCACTTAAAAAATCCCAAACTTCATGCTGCTCAGCCACATTAGCAATGGACAATAAATCCTACAAGATGCAGACGATCATCAAGTACCGATAGGGGTGAACACTACACCTAAGAATGTCAAAGGATAGAGAGAACAGTACCTGGAGATATTTATCAAGCTGAATACAGCGTTGATGAACAAAAGAGTCCTCTGTGCTTGATGAGAAGATCCTTTTGGGAGGCAAATGCAAGGTGTAATTAGGAATGTCTTTAAGATGTCTGTGCAACCTCTCAAAATTACTATATCTGCACAAGAAAAAATTTGGTTAGATATTCATGAATTATAGAAAATAAAAGAGAAACACAGTGCAAAAGTATCTAAGATTCAGCATGCTAGGGAGTTTTCATAATTTTATGACGAAGTGATAAAATCTGGGAACAAAGAAAGCAAATAGTAAACTGAACCCAGCATCAAGAACTTATTAGAACTGTTTCAAGAAAAAAGAATTTGAAAAGAAAGATACCTTCTTTTCACAAACCAAGTTCTGCGATCTGCATCTGTCACTGCAATTGAATAAACTGCAAAGGACTTTGATCCAAGCTTCTCAAAGTATGCTCCCATGACCTTCACAAACAGGATGAACAAAGGTAATGAATTTAATTCAAGGTAGCTATAAGCAACAGTATGGTGGTTAGCTACCAGGGTTCAGGATTCATGTTTCAGTCTTTCCCCCTCATAGTTTCATATGAAAGAACAGTTACCCGGGACCTCAGCTTGGGAAGAGTAGCCTCATCACTGCACAATACTTTATCAGGAATGATCTTAACATCAGGATCCGAAGCATGCCCAACAAAATCTGCAGCGTAGTATTCTGAAATAATGGAACCTCCATGTTCCCCTTCTATGGCCCTTTTCTTTTCAGGCTGGTGTTCCAGAGCAGAGGTGCTACTTGACCGCTTAAGCTTAGCCCCATTTTCATTCATAGAAGGCTTGCTAGTAATCTCATATTCATCAATAGTATCAACTCCAGCCAAAGTATAATCCGTACTCTGACCGGCTATAAAATGTTTCTCATTTTTCTTTTCATTGATTAATGAATTATCAAGACCTAGTTGAGGCATTAGGTGCCCACCAACTTTTCCGTCTGTTATTTTCTGAATCACAGTGCTTGTAGTTGGTGATTCTTTCTCCGTACTGAAAGTGAAATCAACATTGCTCATTGAAGACACCTTTGACCTAACCCGCAGTCCACCAGCTTTCGCAATCTTATTCTCTTTTTTCTTATAATTACTACCTTTAGTCCACATATTCTCAAGATTTTCAGGTGTGAGAACTTCAGTTCTTCTCTGTGTAGCAGCCTCTAGCATTTTCCCCCAAGCAGCATGGGGTGGAGAGTCTGGGTGATCTACACCATCACCCACTGAGGTGTCTTCATGGGTTCCAGACTTAGTTGGAGTAACACCACTGGATGGATCGAATGATGAACTTTTCCGCAAGACCGATGCGCCACTATTTGCAACTCCAGTGGCCTGATCACTTCCTGTGTCCTTTGGGCTATTATCTATTACGGCAAGCAAAATGTATTCAATCACCTCATTGATATACCTGTTTTCAGAAAGGAAAAAAATTGGGTTAGACTCTTTGAATAGGCAACTATTTACATGTCACATCTGGAACAAAGCATATTTAACAAGACACCAGGGCAACAGCCAGGGAGATATAGAAAAGTGATCTGAGATGGCAAACAGAACAACATTCTGGCAGGAATGATTAAACCATCTAGGGGGTCATTTGGATGGTGAATTTAGATCTGAGGGATTTTGACCCATATCCCTAGTTTAAAATACCACGAAATTTGTATGTAGGATTTGGCTAAAATAACTCGTTTGTATAGAGAGACAGAATTTTAACCTAAAACCTCAAATACCATTATTCTCCTCTTCTGGTTAAGCAAATGCATCAAGTACTCCCTCTCCAATAAATATCAACAGCCACTTGACCAGTAACTTAGAGCATTACTGGGGTAAATGATCGGACACAAATGAAGGATGCGTAGATGAAGCAATGGGCCGTCGAATGATTATTATGTAATAATAGTTCATCCTAAAGATAATCTTTCAGATAGTGGCTACCATGACAATAATGACATGCTATCTGGTCTGGACATAATGAAAAACAATCTTCTCATCAAACCTTTTTTACTCACATTATTGTTTCGGGAAATAAAAGAGAAAATTATATAAATTATCTACCCGAAAACAAAATGTAAATTATATAAACAGGAAACCAATTATTTTATGAAAAATATTCCATCCCTTTTAAAATAGAAAAAGTAATGAATATGATAAAAGTTTACTTACACAGGGCTTGCAAGATTCAGAACAGGTTGCATTACCAAGCAAGTGACAATCTCTCGGGCAATAGTCCTTACCAAGGGGGATTGAGCTTCTCGGGGTCTTAGCACTACAGCTAAAACCCCAGCCATTATCCGCTGAATAACCTTTGGAAGACAATGAAAAGCAACAATTGAGGCTTACGAAGCACAATCAAGATATAAGAAAGAGGAAAAAGGGAATCATCAGAACACTCCACTCACACCTTGTACTCACTCTCTGAAGATACCAAAGCTGGATGAAGCTCCTTAGATTCCATTAGATGGTATTTCAACCTCTCATCTCGCTCCTCGGTAGAGAGAGTTCTCATTACATCAACACCAATAGCAGCTTGATTTCGTCTAAAAAGGTCCAAGTGATCTCCTATTAAATCAAGTATATCCCTGCAGTAGAAAGCCCTCATCAAATTCCGTCTGAAAGGCTTCCACATTTAATGCTTCTATTTCAGAATTTCAAGCAACAACATAAGGCATTATATTATGACGAATTAAATGAACAACAAGACTCATAAAATACCTTGTTAAAAGATCAACGAGGTTAATTTCTTTAACCCTCCCTGATATCTCGCCAAGAGCATCCATAATTACTGCCCGGATCAACTCAGGGGCTTCCTTGTCAGGTGTAATTTCAGAGTACCAGAGATCAACCACAAAATCCTTCATTATCTTATCAATAAAATCATTGACTGAAGCCTCCACGATGAGCGAATCAATTTTCCTCCTCCATCTAGGAGGCGGTGGTGCAGAAGAAAGCCGAGAGTCATTTACAGATAATTGCTTCTTCTCCAAATGGGACAAATATGATTGTGGGCGGAATTTGTTGCGTGGTTTCCAGTAGAACTCTACTTCGTTAGACAACACCCTTAATCCAGAAACTAAAAGAATTGACATCGGGAGGTTAATCCACATCGACGAACTTGTATCTGAAATTCAGCAACCATAATTGTTGGGGCATCAACCTCATAAAATGAAAATCATGACATGGGTGACTACGAATTTCGGCAACATGACAAAGACTTACTGAGCACTACATTTTACTCTATCAACCGCCAGCAACCACACATAACAAAGTCAACAACACCACAACAACAAATAGCGTTACGGAATCGGCATTCATCAAAATTAAACTCGAAGCTCACTAAATGCGAATCCAAGTTCAACAAGAACCAATGTCAACAAATTAAACAGAATTCGGTAGCCATATTCAACTGAAATGATCCGAAAGCAGACAGCAGAAACTAGAACCGCGAAATTTATACAGAAGAAGGGAACTCACGAGATAAGAAGTATGTAACGGCGAAGATGCACAATCCCCACCACACTGTTCGAATCTTTGCCTCCTCAATCAGATCCTGAATTGTCTCCATGGGCCTCATTTTGCTAGCTTCTAATCTATTTCTAAACCCTAAAATTCACCCCTCTCCAGCCCTACCTCTCTCTGTCTCAATCTCTCGTCCTCCCTCTGATTCTACTGTGGGCCAGAAAAAGAAAGAGGAAGGATCCGCGGAAGAATTCCGTCCCGCCAGCCCTTCGACCTCCGAATTGAGCAATATAAGAATTGGAGATGGGCACCTGGAAAGCTCTTTGAGCTGCAATGTTCAAGCACCTGAACAGAATGACCTTAGAGAGAGAGAGAGCAAGAGGGAGACACCGGAATTCTGCAGCGTGTTATTGTTTTGGTCGTTAAAAGTGCCGCCAGCTCGCGCCACGATCGTGTTTTCGGAAACGGGAGTTCTGGCTTGTGATTCCCTTTTTCTTTTCTTTTCTTTTCTTTTCTTTTCTCTTCTCTTTCTTTTCTTTTCTTTTTGGATAGAAGGTCAATTTGACCCCTCAACTTTTATAGTTTGGTCATCCCGGTATACGAACTTTATCTTTTATCAGGCCGATACATAAACGCTTTTTTTACTCATTCCGGTATATGAACTTCTAATTTATCAGCAATTCTAACTAGAGTTGATGACACGACATTCACTGGAGTTAAATTTGCCATGTTACATGTCACATGTCGTGTGTCATTTATAATAAGTTAAAAATTTGTAACACATAGATTAAAAATCCTCTTTCATCTATTTATTATTATTAATTGATTTATTAGTACCGTTTCCAAATGATTAGGAGATGTTAATAAAAAATGAATTAGCATAAAAAGGATGGAGAAACCCTAATTTGCCAATTACATCGCTTTTGTTTTGTTGTACATCATCGTCAACAACTCATCAGAATCTGATACGTTATTACCTTTAGTTATGGTCTAGATGTGTCAAAGTCGAAGACGAATAATTTAGGATGCAAATTATCATATTTTCATTTTGCCTTAAGGATTACTGGGTGGTTTAGGATTGGATGTTTTTCATATTAAGAATAGTAGTAACTTTGTTAATTTCATTATTTATTAGGTTCGTTTATTATAAATACATCTACTTCAATTTTAGGTAATACCCATGGGTATAAAAAATCGCGGGTATACATATGTTTTTGCAAAATTGCCGCACATAAATATGAGAAGCATATGAATTTTAGTATTTGACAATGGTGATGAAAATGGTTTATACAAACCCGCCCAAAAAGCTGCGATTCAGTTGCAGGCTCTGGCAGCAAATATGAGAGGAACGTTTAGTTTCAGTGACCCTAATGTAATTTACGCCGTAGTTTTTTTCAAGTCCACGCGAGCGACGCCGTATAAAAAGGGCATTGCTATTCGTCGCCCTAAAATTCATTATTCGTCGCCCTAATTAATTTAAATTTACTCTAATACCCTTAATCATTAATTAATTTCAAACACTAAAACTCAAAAGTAAAAACAAACTCATATACCTAATTTCCCAGTTTCGCCGCCGTCAGAGATTTCTGAGCTCCGGCGAGAGGACGGCGGTAGCAGCAACGCTGTTGTGGAGATTCCGAACCTGGCCTGATTGGAGACTTGATGGCCGTCAAAATTGGCCGCCACCAACATAATATGTTCCAAATTTGCACCGCTACACCCACGGAAGAAGACAACAGCAGTGATCTGCATTCTGCAATCCGGCACGTCGCGACTTCGTGACTTGTAGCTTTCTTTCTCAAAGACAATATATATGTTAACCCACCTTGGGATATTGTGTTGTTTCCCTATTATTCTGTCATTTATTTGTAACAGGTGTGGTTTCATTGGTAAGAGTCTTTGAGTAGAGTATATACTGAATCCGGGTTGGAAAAAGGGAAGACGAGTCGGAGATAAGAATCCGGCAACGACAGCAGCGATCACAAGACGGAGGAGCTCGGCGACGGCTGGGCAGGGAAAAAGATATTTTTTTGTTTAAGGTTTATGTTGAAATTGGTATTAGGGGTAATAGTGTCAATTTGGTGCATTTTAAGGCGACAAAATTTAAATTTTAGGGCGACGAATAGCAATTCAGTATAAAGGGTATAAAAATACCAACACTAAGACCATTTTTTTCCCCCGCCAAAACCAAAAACAAAAGGGTATAGTGAAGAAAGCAGCCGCGAAAATCGAGCTTCGCCCGGCTATTTGGGTTCCACCTTGGCTGAAATCGCGTAGCCACCGCTGTAATCAAACGCGTCACACTTTTCGTTACAATTCCCTTTCCCTCCGCCGCTTTTGTTCTTCGTATTGTTGGTACACACCTCGCCGCTGCCTCCGCAGTACGGATGCTGCCGGAGATTCGCGCCTCCTCCACCTCCTCCTCTCAGGCAATGAATTCCGAATTCCGTCGCCGACGAGGAAGCGGAGGTCGAATTGCCGTTCACTCCTTCCTCCTGCAAGATCGCCTCGATCGTCTTTACCACTTCGCTCATCGTCGGCCGGTCCCCTGCCGACTCTTCCACGCATTGCATCGCCAATTCCAGAAACCGCCGGAGAGTCGCGCCCGCCGTTCCCAGCTCCGTAATGATCGCCGGGTCGATCATGTCCTTGAGACCGCAGTAATCCTCTTCCTCCGCCGCCACCACCTCCGGTTCCACCGTCATCTTCGCACGCACTTGGCGGACGATGTACTTTCCTTTCTCAATTGGCTGCCTCGCCGTCACCAGTTCTAGCATCACCACTCCGAAACTGTACACGTCGCTCTTCTCCGTCAGTTGCTGCGTCATGTAGTATTCTGGATCCAGGTATCCCTGCAATCAATTAACCATTTTGTGAGCTTGACTCCTTATCAATTGGTTATCCGAAATTTGGTTGCTGAAAGAGAATTCTAAACCTAGATTTTTTTTTTTAATTATCTGTAGCGAGATTGAGTCATACTCACCAAGGTGCCTTTAACCTGAGTTGAAACGTGGCCCTTGGTGCTATCACAGACGAGCTTGGACAAGCCAAAATCAGCAACCTTGGCACTCAAGTTTTGGTCTAAAAGGATATTGGTGGACTTGATGTCTCTATGGATGATTGCAGGGTTTGCCAGCTCGTGAAGGTAAGCGAGTCCTTTAGCTGAGCCAAGGGCTATTCGGAGTCTCCTTCTCCAGTCAAGATGAATGCCTGATCTCCCTGTGATAAGCAACCCCCGAAAAATGAAAGAATTGGGTTTGTTATGGACTAATGAAGCAGGTACTTCCCATTTGCAGGTTTTGGATTTGAATTTTGATCAACCTTACCTGTCAAACTCTCCTTGAGAGTACCATTTGGCATAAACTCGTACACCAGCATCTGTTCCCCTTGTTCAAAACAGAAGCCAATGAGGGCCAAGAGATTCTTGTGGTGTACCCTTGAGAGAAGCTCAATCTCAGTCTTGAACTCCTGCCCGCCTTGCAATGATTCTTGTTGAGCTCGTTTAATTGCCACTATCTGCCCATCAGAAAGCACTCCTTTGTACACCTGCGGACAACCAAGATCGAGAACCGGGTTTGCCTCGGGTAATTAGTCATTAAGCCATTTAGTTTAGTCACTCTCTGAAACACTTTAGGGTTCTTAATAGTGTTGCTTATGTTTTGCCCCCCCACCTTGCCGTAGCCTCCAGAACCTAACTCATTGCTCCCGGAGAAGTTACTAGTGCACTTCTTGAGTTCATCGTAGGAGAACCATCTTGCTCCCTTCAACTGTGGTGCCCCTGCTCCACCACTATTATCCTTCCGACTTGCTGCTGCCCAAGAAGCTGCAGTACAAAGTTAGCAACGGAAGTTAAAAGGTCTAACTCTTAAGTCGCTATTCACAAGAGATTTGAGATTGAATTTTGTATCATTGGTCATGCATACAAGGGATTTCTAGGACTACTACACACATACCAAATGGTTTACTAAATACAATAGCCTTTTCAGCACGCTTTTTCTGACGAATGGCATAAATGGCTACAGCAACAAGGCACAGGATCAGAACAGAGCAGCCGCTTGCTATCCCGGCTACAACGCCTCTGCTGATGGAAGCTCTTCCATGTTCCCCTGAGAGGTCCACAGCATTGTAACCCCACAACATTAACAACACTTTATTAACAATCTTATTATGGTATATCAGGGCAAGATGTCTCAGTATTTGAAACAAAGCTTATACCTTGGAAAGGGTATGGAGATGCAATGAAATAGTAAGGTCCAAATTCATGGGGAGGCTTGTAGGTTTGGTTGCTCAAGTCAAATCCGATTCTCTGGATCTCCGATCTGTTGAAGTACTTTCCACTGAAAGCAGGGGGGAAAAGGGCTAGCTGGATCTGGAGATAATCATCAGAGTTGAAAATTGGGTTCTGAAGTGAGACGGAGCCCGGGGTAAGTCCTAGCTTCACCCAGAGGCTCATCTCCAGTGCATGAAATGTATTCACATTCGTTAGATCCCTGAAGGAAGGCCCTCTGAAGTACAAGGTCCCTTCATATGGGTATGCACAGTCACAGCTCTGTGGGCTGAGCTTCTGGTCAGCTGTGCAGAGTTTGGTCCCACAATTGGCAAGGCTTGTGGAGTAAGATCTGGAGGACTGTTGCCTCTGGAGTTGGCAGTAGTTAGTGTTGGACAGAGCCGTGCAGACCGGGTTTCCCACTAGTCTGTGCATATCATAAGATCACGTTTAAGAACCCTTGTTCTGTCAATGGTTAGACTTACTAAAGGGAAAAGGAGAATAATATTGTTGGGATGCTTACATTAATGTGTTGTTGTATCCAGCAGTTAGTGTTACAGAGGAAATCTGATTGTTCTGCAGGTCGACAAGCTGAAGTTGTGGACTTATGCTGTCGCCCATGCTTAACGTGCCATTGAAGGCATTGTCGTTTAATAACCTGACGGGACAAAGGATATTGTTGAACCGAGTGAGTAACTGATGATTGATCATATCTAATTCAGGATTTCCTATCTAGCAGGTTAAAAGGAAGACATACAGTTGCTGCATTTGTGGGAAACTGAAGATCTTTGGTGGCAGAGGTCCTTGAAGTGATCCATGTTCCATAACCCTGTCCAGCAGATTTAGTCATTTCTAGATTACCCCTGGATTTTCCACTTGGTAAGCATGAACATGATTTGTCTGTCGAAAGCTATCTAGAAAGCATCAATGGTCTCAACTTACAATGCGGTAAGAGATGGTAGGGTAGAGAACCAAGTAGGAGCTTCAGAAGGTTCGAAAAAGTTGCTGCTCAGGTCTCTGTAAGGTAACAGACAATTTATGCATAAGAGTGGAAATCAGTATCTAATGATGTAGATTTAAAGTTATCCAACACGTACATGTAATTGAGATTATTCATTCCAGTTAAGTTTGGTAAGGGGCCGGTCAATCTGTTGTGCGCCAAGTTCCTGAAGAGCGAAAGGATCATACATTATGTTTCAATCTCAACACTATGAGTATCTATGCAACCAATGGTGAAATCTACCCACAGCTCATTGATATTCAGAAGGTTGTTCAGATTTGAGGGTACCCTTCCCGCCAAAGCGTTTCTATCCAATCGACTGTAGAAAATAAGAAGTGTATCAAATTTCCAGTTTTGGTAAATGGACATGAAACTAACAGAAGATCTCATTGTGGTTTTGAGTTTACTCACAGAACTTCAATGGTCGCAACTAGTCCTAACGTGTCTGGGATACTTCCATTGAGTTGATTCCCATCAAACAGTCTAGAATTGTAGCGAGATCATGGTGTCAGCAATTGCAAACAAGATCACGTATCAGGATGGATACGCAAAGAGTAAGAAGCTATGGAGTCTTACACATGTATGAGGACCATCTCAGGACTGAAAAGCTTGGGAGGAATGGAACCTGATAGTTGGTTCTTGTTGAAATGACTGCAGAAGAGGGTAAATAGACCAAACATGCGAAAGGATTGAATGAAACCTCTTTTGTGATGGCATGCTTGCATTTCATTTCAATAGTAAACACGACTTTACTAGTATTCAGACACTCACAAGTGCTTAGCCTTGAGGAGGAGGTCCAAGCCTGGGGTGTCTGGTGTGGAAACTGGGAGATTTCCTGTCAATTGATTATCAGCCAAATCCAACCAGTAAAGCTGGGAGAGATTTCCCAATGACGGGGGTATTCTTCCTGTCAAGTTATTCGAGTTGAGTGCCCTGCAGCCAATGTGATGGACGTCATTCGAATTAGAAGGTTTCAACTCCATTTACAAAGTGGTTAAATTTTGCAGGGTCATACAAGAAGGATAGTTCTGAGAGATTCCCCAGCTCATCTGGAATTCCGCCGCTGAAGCCACAGCCCACCAAGATTCTGGAAACATACAACAGCATATGAGAAATGTAAAAGAACTGAAGTCATCAATTCATCACATATAGAGAAACAGAGGAAGAGGAGCAATAGATTGGAGTGTACAAGATGTTCAATTTCTGCAGATCGCCTAATCGCGGGGTTAAGGGCCCTGTGAGGTCTCGGTTGTATGACAAGTCCCTGCAATTGGAGACGGACGTAAGAGGTATTTAATTTAGTTAACATTATAGCAAAGCTCATCTAGTTATTCAACCATGTGAGAAAGGTGGATACTTACAAGGATTTTAGCTCAGTTAGCCCTCCAATGTCACCACTCAACTTCCCTTTAAGACCCATGCTAGACAGTCCCCTTCACATCCAAAATAAGGATCAGAGTCAGTGAGCTCTCAAGCACTACTAGAATATAGAGAAAATGAGGAGACAAATTAAGGAAGGGGGACTAACAATGCAGAGACTCTGGAGTTTTTGCAGGTGACTCCTTCCCAAGGGAACCCACAGGGATCATCCGACTGCGTCCAGCTCGGGGGAAGGTTCCTCCATATCTCTTTCAGCGACCTCAGTGCCGCAGCTGCATTTCCCCGGTAATACGGTAAACGATCACCATAAGCATTACTCTTGGCCCAGATGCATATCTATCAAAATTGAGTCATAACCCACCACCACATTCAGCATTTTTGACTACTTACCATCACGAGGATCAGTTGCAGACAAGCTGACATGAACTGCTGCACTGAAGAACATAAGCAGCAGAAGCAACCGCCCCATTGTTCACTCACTATTTCTCGTCTCTGCTAGCTATCTGGGGAGTTATTTTGGAGTGGCATTGTGAGCTTCCTGCGTGGAGAGTGAGTTTAGTTGGGGAAAGCGAAAGAAGGTGGTTCGTATATGGTAAGTTAAATTCCGACTCAACTGATGCCCTTGCTTTCCTCTTTTTGCCTGCCTGCCCATCAAATTGATATATGATTATATCTTGTCTTGGAAGCCACTCTATTCCCACACCAAACCAACTTTTTTCCACCTCCGCCTCTCCCCTCCCCACCCAGGTTTGAAATTATGTTGTTTCCTTAGTTGAGAATTGCACCAACATGATTAGGTCTCATATTTGCTTCATTAGTACGAAGTACAAACCCAACCCCCACTAACAAACTCACAGGAAGGAAACCAACAAACTACTTCATTCATTTTTCCTAATTGGACACATCATCATCCTTACAAGTAATCCAAACGTGCAACTGATTGTTGTTTCTGTTTCTAATTTCGATTGAGCGTGTAGATCCAGTATCTAAAAAGCTGGAAAGTCCAGCTCGAGACCGAGCCAAATCTATGAATTAGACTTGGGCCGTATTATAGCCCTGCAAATATGGTGTGGGCTAAGGTTATCCTCCATCTAGGGGTGGAAAACGGGAAACGGTGGAAAACGGGAAACGGGTATTTGGAAATACTCATAATCTTTCCGTATTTTAAGGGTTATGGGCAGTGTTGTTAAAGCCGAGCCAGCCGTTCGGACCGATAAAATTGGCACCCGGACGCCAGCTCGACTCGGAACACACTAAAAGCCACAACGATCAGGAAAGACGGTTGGTAAGCGGTCTGAACGGCTAACCGTTCGAACCGTTCAAACCGACCAACGGGTTCTCATTCCAACCGTCCAATTAAAGGAACATGTTTCTCTCCAATTAATTCAAACATCGGGACAGGGGACTAGGGGTGTCAGTTCGGGTCGGGTTCGGAAACTCAAACCGAACCCGAAAAAACTCAAAAATTCGTAACTGAAATAAATGGAAACCGAACCAAACCCGATAAGGACTTTCGATTTCTGGTTATCCGAAACCCGAAAATTCCTTATAGGGTTCGGGTTCGAGTAAAGCAAAACCGAAACCCAAAAACCCGAATGCATAAGAATACCGGCTGAGTTCTATTCCTTGGAGGTTTTTAGACGGAACCCGAAAACCCGATAAACAAAACCGAACCAGAAACCAAAAAACCCGAAACTCGAAACAAACCCGAACCCAAAAAATCGAAAATGTATCTAATCGGGTCGGTTTTAGATAAACCCGAAAAACCAACCCGAATGGACACTCCTACAGAGAACGCGCGTGGGGTTGGGAAATTGCACTCATCAATTCCTTTCCTTTTCCCGACTCAAAGCTCAAAAACCAACTCTTCCTGTTGGAAGTTATGTAACAATAAATATTAGACTTTTTCTTTTTTTTGTTGTTTCTAATTAATTAAAATTATTAAGCCGTAAGTTTTTCTTCTTCATTTCCTCCCGTTCCTCAACTTCCGTTTCTGTTTGACTTGTTAGAAACGGAACAACAAGAAGACCGAGGATACCGAATCTGGAGCTGAGTCGCGGACTAGGTCGCTCTCTTTAAGACGTTCGCGGCACTGCCCTCGATGCGCACGACAGACTATCAACCGGTCGTCTCCAGGATAAAACAGCTCCTCTGTGTACTCGCGGTTTTGTGCGAAAACCGGAGCTCTCTGAACACTCTCTCTATTGTGTTTATGCTCGTTGTGGTGTGTTTAGAGGGGCTGGGGAGGCGGCTATTTATAGGAGCCGAACCCCTAGGAATATACCCTCTTGCTCGGGGAATAAGTCGGATTAATTAAGGAAGATAATTACTTCCTTAATTAAAACCGTCGGTTAGGATAAATCCTGCAGAGATTATCCTTCGAATATTCCTTTTCAATCGATTATAATTAAAACCGTCGGTTAGGATAAATCCTGCAGAGATTATCCTTCGAATATTCCTTTTCAATCGATTATCCCTTAGAATATTCCTGATCCTCTGATCCTCTATCGCTCCTAAGTCTTTTTATCTTTCGATTGCACTGATTTTCGAATTCAACCACAAATACCTTGAACATGTCAAGGGCTTCACTTTTGTTTTTCATCAAATAAACAAAGCAATAATCAGAGCAGTCATCTATGAAAGTGATAAAGTATCTCTTGCCAGACCTAGTTAACGTCCCATCTAGTTCACAAATATCAGAATGAATCAGATCTAAGGGTTCTGATTCTCTACTCACAGATTTATGGGGCGTTTTCGTTATTTTAGCTTGGCTACAGAAATCACATTTATCAAATTCATTCATTGAGAGTTTAGGGATATGTCCTAGCTTGCTTAAATTCTTCACAATTCGTGTGTTCACATGACAAAGACGAGCATGCCATACATTCAAATCACACACCATGTAAACTGAAGAATTCATCTTATTAATTTCGACATTCAACTTGAACATCCCATTACATGCATATCCCTTTCCCACAAAACTCTCATTCTTAGTAAGGGTATACAAGTCTGCCCCAATAGATTGATTAAACCCAGCCTTATTAAGAAGATATCCCGAAACAAGATTCTTCCTTATCTCTGGAGTGTGCAACACATCCTTGAGCACCATCTTCTTCCCAGAGGTGAAGTTCAGCTCCACTTCACCAGAACCAGCAACCATAGTGGTGTGAGTAGTCCCCAACAACACTTTCTTGTCAGCAGGTGCTTCTTCATATGTTTTAAACATAGCACGATTGTTGCATACATGCTTCGATTCACCTGTATCCAGCCACCATCCTTCTGAGTCACCAGTGAGGTTAACTTCAGCGATCATATCTGTGATCATGGCTACCAAATCCTCTTCTGTCAAGTTAACCCTGGCCGCAGCGGCGGGGTTATTCTTGTTCCTGCACTTTTTTGCCATATGACCCGGTTTTCCGCAGTTAAAGCAGATAAACGGTGGGTCATTCTTAGAGGTTTGGACCATGACCCTTTGGTTACCTCGAGAGGCACCATTCTGGTGGGGGCGGACCTGCTGGTTCTTACCCTTAAACCCTTTCTGGTTAGGTTTAAGAGCTCTAGGGGTGGGTCGTTTAGCAGTGACGACCATCACCTCTTCTTTCATATCCTGCTTGCGGGACTCTTCCTCAATCCTTAGGCGAGTAATCAAACTTTTCAGTGAAAATTCTTTGGTTTTATGTCTAAGCATATTCTTAAAATCTTTCCACGAAGGGGGCAGCTTATCAATAATGCAAGCAACTTGAAATTGATCGTCCAGAGGCATACCTTCAGAGACGATCTCGTGAGCTATTTTCTGAAGTTCGTGGGACTGAACTTCGACAGACTTGTCATCCACCATCTGGTAGTGCAGGTAGCGGCTGACAGCGTACTTCTTAGCTCCAGCCTCCTCCGTGTCGTACTTCTTTTGGAGCGCATCCCAGACCATCATTGCGGTGTTCTTGTTGTCCGCATAGTAGTCGTAGAGGTCGTCTGCCAGGCCGTTGAGGATGTAGCCCTTGCATAGGAAGTCATGCTCCCTTTCCTTAGCAGCAGCAGTCCTCTCCTCATCGGTCGCTTCTTCCGGCAGCTCGACGGGCATGCTAGTGAGGCAGTGTGCCAACTTCTTGGTCGTCAGGTAAAACTCCATCTTTTGTTTCCAGCGACGAAAGTTGACTCCAACGAAGCGAAACGGTCGATTGATATCGACAGCACCAGATCCGGCCATGTTGTTCTGTTCAGTCGACATAGCAGCAGCCGAACGTCTTAAAATTGTTAGAAACGGAACAACAAGAAGACCGAGGATACCGAATCTGGAGCTGAGTCGCGGACTAGGTCGCTCTCTTTAAGACGTTCGCGGCATTGCCCTCGATGCGCACGGCAGACTATCAACCGGTCGTCTCCAGGATAAAACAGCTCCTCTGTGTACTCGCGGTTTTGTGCGAAAACCGGAGCTCTCTGAACACTCTCTCTATTGTGTTTATGCTCGTTGTGGTGTGTTTAGAGGGGCTGGGGAGGCGGCTATTTATAGGATCCGAACCCCTAGGAATATACCCTCTTGCTCGGGGGAATAAGTCGGATTAATTAAGGAAGATAATTACTTCCTTAATTAAAACCGTCGGTTAGGATAAATCGTGCAGAGATTATCCTTCGAATATTCCTTTTCAATCGATTATCCCTTAGAATATTCCTCAGAATAACTGATTAATAATTAATTATATAATAATTAATTTCGTTCGGAATTTCTCCAAAAAATATGTATATAGTCTCAAGTGATCCATCCAACCGGACGGACGGACGGACGGCGCGTGTGTGGTGGTCCGTTAGGTCCTCCCTCTCCCACAAAAGTGGGTCACCCCAAGGGGCATGCCCTTAGGAGAGAGGCTCCTATCTTTATACTCATTTCACCAAGTAAAACTACCAATGTGGTAGTTTTTCCACTTGAGACTCTATAGCTTTCAAAGCTATTCATACACATTTCCAACAATACTTGGCGGTTTAATTTTGCTGTTGCCAATTCGCCAGAGACTCTTCACTGCAGAGGCGCTTGCTCTGTACAACGGGACCGACGAATCATTGCTTCTCTTTCGCCTTCAAAGACTGGCGACGCCGGTGAGGAAATAACGCCGCCGCCGAGTAGCGCCAGGCCTTGCACGTTCAGCAACGCCGCCGTCGCGATCCACAGGCGAAGCGCTTGCTGTTCCTGCGAGCGACGTGGAGTGGCCAGAAGGTTCAAATTGCGGCGCGGTGTCGGGGGAGTATGGGCGGAGGAGCGATATACGCGAGGAAGGAGATCAGCTGAATATTAATTTTTTTATTTATTAGATATTGTGTTAATGGACCCTTTTACCCTTGTTGCCGTACCCGTGGGATACCCGCAAATTCCATTTGAGTATTTTGGGTACTCGTAATACCCATTAAACCACGACGACAAGAAGCTGGTACGCCTCATTCCTGCTTTCCCCCAGCTGATGCGTACTCTTCTCATTGTTTTTTCGCTTGTTTGGTTGCTGAGAAAGGTTTGGGCGCAAGTTGAGAAACTAATATGGGGTTTTATCTTCTTCAATTTAACGATTAGCCAAAGCATTGGTAAAG